CTTGTAATTTTTTATTTTTTATTTGGAGTAGCAAGTTCAACAAGACTGTTAGACTAGACTACATTATTGCGGGGTTAGCGATATGAAAGGATTCATGAAATTTTTTCCGTTCAAAGTCTCATCTCTTTGTAGCCACTAGCCATACGCTATTCATTTACATGTTTCTTTGCTATTATTTGACATGAATAAATTTGTTATTTGATTTTTTAAAAAAAAAACTATTATGTCACAACAGAACAATTATAAATTTGTTATTAAAAAAACTATTGTGTCACAACAGAACTATTGAAAAAAATTGAAGAAGGCAATTAAAGCTTAGAGCATCTCTAATGGGCTTCTTTTAACATAATAAAAAATCATCACATCATTAGTTTTGAAAGAATGATACTATTTTGGTCTCCCGTCCGTTCTTTTATTAGGTCTTTTAAGCTGACGTGGATTCAACTCTTTCAAACGCTCTGTTGGAATTTCCAAAAGGGCGTCTAACATCGTGACTTAGCAATGTGGGCGCGATAACCACAACTCCTGAAGAAAAAAAAGTGGACAATTCCGGAAAAGTTAACGCGCCATTCCAGAAGAAACTTGTGGGCACCGTTATGAAAAAACACAAGCGGCAATTGGAAAACTAGGGCGAAAAATTTAGCGGCAAATAATATACCCCAAACCTCATATCTCCTTCCTATCAGTCTTCCTACTTGCCCATCTAACATTGGCTCTGCCCTTAAGGATAGCCCTCAAGACTTCTTCCAGATTCTAATCTTCCAGGTACAGTGGTTCAAATTAGGTGAGCATACTTTAAGTTCTCTCCACGTATCACGTATGAGGTCCTTGTGAAAATGTAACTTTTTGCAAGTTTTGTTATTCCAGGTAAGTCTTAGAAGTTAATTTATTGTGGAGTTTTGTTCTTATAGTATTGAACAGTCGGGTTAAATTAAAATCATATGAAAATAAATTTTGGAAATTTGCAAAGTATGGTAGTAATGATTCTATATTTTTGTAAACAAATTTACATCATAAGCAGTTGATTCAAGTAAGTGTGTAAATTTGGTCATGCTGCTAAAACTATGTAAAACTATGTAAATCATCGATTTTCAAAACTACAGAATGAATCTATTTTAGCTGCAATATCAGATTTATTTGGTTTTCTCATATATTTTTCTTCAAACAATCCTATTATAGCACCATAATTTTTTTTTAAACACTCAATTGCAGTGCTTTCACCAATTTGAACGTATTCATCAAGAGAATCGGCTGAACAACCGTATGCAAGCATTCGTATAGCTGCTACAACTTTCTGTAAAGGACTCAACCCTATGTTTCCAACTGCATCAACCTTTTGCGTAAAGTAATTGTCATAATTCTCGACCGCGTGCAAAATTCTCTCGAATAGCTCAATATCCATGCGAAATCGGCGACGAAATATCAGCAATGTACTTTGACTTCTCACCACTAAAGTAGTCTTTTGTAATTAAATCATGGCGATCTTTCCTATCACGACTAATATATTTCCTACCAATTGTTGAGCCCCATGTGGACGTTTATTACCAACTAAAAGCGTATAAAGTAAAATTGGAACCTGAACGGCCCCAGTTTGAACCACTAAAGAGCTTGATTCTTCATCAAAACTATCATCCGTCAAAAATGTCTTGATAAGTGAAAGTGACTCTGTGCTTGATGATACACTTGGAGAACTCAATTCAGATTCAGAGTCCCGTGAGGACATTGCCTGGATCATGCAAATATACAAACTTAAGTATAAAATCATATAATGACTATTAAAACTGTTGATATTAAACTCACAAACTATCAAATTCCGAAATAATTTTATCAGGTAATAAAAATTAAATTAAACACTGATTTCTTAAAATTTATATGTGATCATACCGGCAAAACCAAATAATTATAGTGTCACTGTATTAAGTCACGAAGGGTACAAAATGATATAAATCGTTTGAATAGATCGACTATTTTATGATTTAAAAGAAAATAGAATTATGGATGAATTAGTAATAATAATTACCTAATTTGAATAGTGCAAATTTTACTTCTCAATTCGAAAGATACAGATCGATAATGGCCGGCAGCTTCAGTAATTACTTAGATGATCTTGATCATATGCAGCAGTTCAATCGTATGGGTTGGAAGAATATTTATACAACTTGGATGCCTTTTTTATTTAGGACTCAACAAGTACCTCGTATATTGAATATATTAGATGACATGTAGACAAACAATTTAAGATGTTAACATTGTCCCTTGGAGAACTTTTATTTAATTCTTTGGATGTGTACTTGATGTGGATAAATGTAGTCTTAAATAATTGACATTTGGCCGAAAATAGGATCCGTCAAAAGTGTACGATTGATGATGCTCTTAGTTTTAATTTATACTCAACCGTATTTCTATTTTTTGTGATGGAACTCTATTTCTATTCTATTGTTGTGCATTATATTTTTGAAAAGCTTTTTATTTGACACATTTCATCCTTATTTTATCTCAATTTTATATACTACTCTGTATTGTATTTTGAAAAGCTTTTTATTGCTTGTTTATAATCCTAATTTGACACATCCATCCGTATTCAATTTTTCTTTCTTTCTTTCTTTCTTTCTTTCTTTCTTTCTTTCTTTCTTTCTTTCTTTCTTTCTTTCTTTCTTTCTTTCTTTCTTTCTTTCTTTCTTTCTTTCTTTCTTTCTTTCTTTCTTTCTTTCTTTCTTTCTTCTTCTTTCTTTCTTTCTTTCTTTCTTTCTTTCTTTCTTTCTTTCTTTCTTTCTTTCTTTCTTTCTTTCTTTCTTTCTTTCTTTCTTTCTTTCTTTCTTTCTTTCTTTCTTTCTTTCTTTCTTTCTTTCTTTCTTCTTCTTTTTTATGTTTAATTTAGGAAAGAAAATTATGTGAAATTGTATTAAAATGTGAAATATAAATAACAAATAACTTTATTCATTCGAAATAGTTCGAATATTTATTTTAATGATAACCAAGTATTACCATAGGGTTTTTCCCTGAATATTACTAAACTAATGTTGATTTTCAAAACAGCGAACACATTTACATTTGGACAAAAATGTGACTAAAATGATTATATATTTGGAATGTAATCATCGACGGCAACAAGGGGGCAACATGGGGCAACGAGGGTGCGACGGACGACGGCCAATGCATCGATGGGCAATGGAGACGGCCAAGACAGCGGAGGAAGTGGCAGTCTAGCTGCTCTGTACGCGGAGGAGAGGAACACTGCTTTGGCTGCTTTGTGCGTCGAAGTTTTGCTCCGTCCTTGGGGTTCGTGCGCAGCAAGCACGAAAGAAAAAGCGGAAGGTTCAACATTCACTTTTTTTTTGTCAAAAATAAACAGTAAAGTTTTTTCCCAATAAAATATGAGAGGTAATATTTGTGCCATTCTTTGTAATTATCATTAGTTGATTATTATAAATAATAACTTCTTTTTGTTAAAAAAACTTCTTTTAAAATTAATTTTAAATATGAGAACATGTTACTATTATTAATTTCATTTTTTTCTTTGTCCTAATTGATCCTCATTTCCTCTCATCCTCCCCCGGATACAACTCTTATTTGAACGAAGTGAAAAAAATAAGATCTTTGTTGTCTAATAGAACAAACACTAATACCTTAATTGAATGAGTAAAGATCCAATCTGTTGATCAAAGTGCTTCTCCGATTGCGGCTTGATGAGCACAGATGAGGAACCCGAAAAAACTTTGTCACTTTACAATGAATTTATGATTTTGTTCATTTCTCCCCTGTTTATTATTCTATAATTTCACACCCAATTTGAACTTGACAAAATTGAGTGGAACAAAGTTAGTATAACAAATGTTGGCCATTTTATGGCGTTGATTGGATTAACTCATCGGGTTCGAGTTGACCCATGACACAGTCACATGGCTTGGTTGCTTCCCCATTTCATAATGGAGTGGTGCTCGGTGTACACACTATTTGTACACATTTTGTGTACACTCTTCTCAGTTGTCTGTCTAGTGTCTAACTATCTACAAGTCAACTTCTTAACAAATTGCTCATGCCTTAAAAAAAATGCCTGTGTAGACAGACAACTAGAAAGGTGTACACAAAATGTGTACAAAATGTATGTGCCGACATCTAGGGGTGGACATATTGGTTTGGTTTAACTGAATCGAATTGTACCAAATCGAATAAAACCTAACCGAAATCGGATCATATGCTATTCAGTTTGAGTTTGGTAGTATTTCTTCCAAACCGAATCAAAACGGATAAAAACCGAACAAAACCGAACTGAACTAAAAAAATTCAATAAAATCTTTATATATAAATAAAAAATAACAAATCCAAACCGAACTAAACTCAATCAAACCAAATAAAAAATTAATATGATTTTTATTTGATAAGAATTCTTCTAACCTATTCCAAACCGAAATGAACCGAAAATCGATATGATCACCTCTAACTTTTTACTTCTATTTTTTAGACATATGTATTACGGGGGTTTAATGTGCCAAATTAAACCCCGTCGTGAAATATAAATTTGGCGCATTAGTCCACTGTGATTTAAAAAATGCATATAACACCTCTGTGTTATTAATCAATCGCAAAACCCCTCCAAGAAAAATATAATTTCGAAACAATGAAAAATGATTAGTTTTTTTATAATTTTGAACTTTTGACAAAGTTACATACGTATTCAACCATATTATTAAGAAAAGTGATTTTAAAATTGTAAAATTTGTTCATGAAGGAGATTTTGTGCATGATTAATTATAATACAAGGGGACTTAGACGTATTTCTTAAATCGATACTAATGCGAGGAATTTATATTTGATGAGTATTTTGTTCATGATTAAACCCGTATTACAGACTAGTGACTAGTGAATAGGCCACAAATCTTCTCTCGAACGTGGCCCTCAACTGCTCTCCCTACAAAAGGCTAAATCAGTCATTTAAACGAACCCGGCAATTCAACTCGACCACGAGGGCGGTCGCGGTTGCGGCGGTACAACCAATTGGACAAATCAATCAATGAATAGTTGCAGTGGCAATTACGTACTTTCCTTGATAATTCCCGACCACCTCCTCTTCACTCTGGACGCCCCCCACTCTTTCCAGTTTTCCCCACCATCTCGCTTTTCCCCCTTTTTTGAACTCAACTCATTTTACTGTAAAGCATTTCAATTATTTAGAGAGCTGCGAGAGTCATGGCTTCTGGCGGCGGTATTAGGAATGGCAATCACAAGGCAACGAATCCGAGGACTTCATCCTCTATTAAATCTAAGCTTCCACCTCCGACATCTAATCTCCGGCGCAGCAGCGTGTCCGCTCTCGGCGCTGGTGACGGCGGTTCGTCTTAGCTTCCCTCCCCATTTCGACAGTAAAGTTGACTGGTTTATCAGTGTACTTGAAATTCACTACACGATTGATTGTTGAGATTTGAGATTGAATTTTGATATCACCTCCAGTTCAAAATTCGATTGTTTTAGCCGTTAACCTATCGTTTTTTGAATGTTTGATCGTTTTGCTGGATGATGTGGCTACTCTGCATTTCGTATTTGAGTTCACTAATTTTACATTGTGGCACTTGGGTGACTTATTGATCTGCGTTTTTGAATGACTTTATAGTTTCCGGAAGAGTTCGAGTTTCCATACGATTGAGACCGCGGAATGATGAGGAATTGGCAGCAGATGCCGATTTTGCTGATTGTGTAGAGCTGCAACCTGAGGTGTTTAACTTAAGCAGTTTCACTCTTGATGTAGGATTTGTTGATTTCTTGAAATTGCTCATTCATTGTTTTGCTCGGGCAGCTTAAAAGGTTGAAACTAAGAAAAAACAACTGGGATACGGATACATATGAGTTTGATGAGGTGTTCACCGAGTTTGCATCACAAAAGCGTGTGTACGAGGTGGTTGCGAAACCTGTTGTGGAGGTGTGTTTCCTTTGTCCACTTAATTCAGCAGTTTTAAACTCCTCTAACTGACGAGAAATAGCAAGTAATAAGATTCAATAAAAGAGAGTTTTCACTATTGATTGATCTTCATGCTCTATTTCCTGCATTCTTTTTAACTCTACATATATGATATTTACCTTCTCGGTGGGAGCCAATGTTGATACAGAAGTTGTACAGGATATTGGAGGTCCATAGCTGATGGTCTTATTTGGTAAATGGTTAATCCATTAATTTTTTGGTACTATCACTACTATGGCCAACTTTAGCGGTTTGACATTGTCAAGCTGCTCATTTATATGGATTTTTGTTTAGGGGTTAGACCCCAAAGCACTGAAAGTGAAACACTACAAGAGTATCATTTTGAGTAGTAGCTTGTTTTTTGGTTTTAAAATACATTTTAAATTTCCCCAGTCCCTAATCATCAAACTTGGTATTTGATTCATAATATAATATTCCAAATTAATTTTTATATTAGTTTTCTATTAATCATGTTAGTTTACAATAAAAAAGTAATGATTATAACCATTACTGGAACAACAAAAACATAAACAATAACAACACCTATTATTTCTATTACAAGATGAAGACAGTGGTGACAGTAATAACATTTTTTTTGGTACATCACAAAAGTACAATAATACTAATAATCTATGAAACTAATATTTGAACTTTCAAATATTCATAAAATTGTTAGTGATACCAAATAACTGGATTAATCTGTAGTTATGAACTTGAACTCTTACGGCACAATTTGATTGTAAAAAATGCCAACACAATCTACGATCCACAAACTCTTGTTATCCAAACAAGGCCAATGACTTGTTGATTCTTGGTCATAGATTTTGTAATCCAAAATCTAGAAAGGGAAATAAAGAGAGCTGGAGAGAAAATTATGATTGCATAAATGATTAGAAAGTCAGAATCTTAACTCTTACATCAGTCCCATTGGAGGTATTTATAGGTGTACAATGATTGAACTTGGCTACTACCTGTGCAACACGTGTCGCTAACTAGCTATGCTTGTGACATGTGTAATTCACAAAACTGGAAATTAGGAATGACGGTTACCCACAAATCCAGTACTGATGCATTTCCTTCTGATTGGCTGATTCAATCCCTAGAAAACACTTATTCTCCTTCCTTGTAGCTGAAGCCGAGGACAGAAAAACCTAACAATGAGCTCTTACCCTCTTAGGCCTGCCTTGGAGTGTCCCCCCCCATCTGTGTCCATCTGTTCGTGGGCATGGGGTCTAAACCCATATACTCCACTTGGTTAAAAGTTCGTCTATTTTTCTGCTATTTCGTACCTTTCATTCCTTTCTTCATATTTCTATACAGATAAATGTTTGCAGTTTTTAGTTAGACATTTATAGGTTGTCAGTTGGAAATTATTTTCATGTGGAAAGCTCCTGCTAAAATGATCTATCCCATCTTCCTCTCTTTTTCTTAGAGTGTCTTGGAAGGTTACAATGGGACAGTTATGGCATATGGTCAGACTGGTACTGGGAAAACCTATACTCTTGGAGAATTGGGAGATGAAGATCACTCAACTCGTGGTATTATGGTTCGGTCAATGGAAGACATTCTTGAAAATATAAGTCCAGATACTGACTCAGTCTCTGTATCATACTTGCAGGTCGACATTCAATTTTTTGAAATTCCTGATTCTTTATAAGTGTTGTTTACACCCTTTCATTTGCAACCAACCATACACATATTCTGAAGCCTGAACTCTAAAGTGCAATAAATGATACTGTCTATTTGCAGCTTTATATGGAAACAATCCAGGACCTCCTTAATCCTGCAAACGATAACATTTCTATAGTTGAAGACCAGAAAACTGGCGATGTATCCCTACCAGGGGCAACAGTTGTTGATGTCCGAGGAAAGGGAAATTTTATGGAGCTACTACAGTTGGGGGAAGCTCATAGATATGCTGCTAACACAAAGATGAACACTGAATCTTCTCGTAGTCATGCTATTCTCATGGTAAATGACCTTTTTAATGTATTGCTTTATGCTGCTCACTCTCATTTGGCTCTTAACTCTGCTTTATTTTGTTACTTAAAAGGGAGGAGGAAACTCTGGGTATTTTAACATTTTTATGAAGATACACCAAATGAATGCCAATGACTGCCTGGCGATATACCTTACTTGTATTATTTGGTAATTTTGTATAGGTGCACATCAAGAGGTCTGTTTCTGTAAGGGAAACAGATATTTCTGCTGATTTTGATGATCCTTCTCCCTTGGCTACTAATTTTAAACCACCCATGCTTCGAAAAGGAAAGCTCCTCCTCGTAGACCTTGCTGGTTCTGAACGTGTTCTTAAATCTGGTATACCTAATTTTCTTTTTTCAGTTATAAGTATTACTACCTCCGTCCCATTTATATTGTCCCGGAAGAGGGTTGCACGGTTATTAAGAAAAGTGGGTTTGTGTGGTTGATATTAATTGATAAAGTAAGAATAAAGTAAGAATGATTTAGAGCCACACAAACTTTGCCAAATATGGTATGGGACAATTTAAGTGGGACTTCCCGAAAAGGTAAAACGGGACAATATAAATGGGACGGAGGGAGTACTACCCTTGATTTAGTTATATACTATAGTATATGAGGCATATGAGCTTAGGAGTACATCTAATTTTCTAGTACACTGATCTTTAATCTCATACATTAGTTTCTTACTCAATTGACCGGTTATGACATTTACCTGAGGTTTGGGATGTCATACACCAGTGGCAAATTCACAAGTGTATAGCTGATGTACTATACACATGCTAAAAAAATGAAGCTTACTATAGTGAGGATTTTTATTTTCATTATGGTGGATCGCAGGAAGTGAAGGGCATATGCTAGAAGAAGCCAAGTCTATCAACCTTTCATTAAGTGCATTGGGGAAATGCATAAATGCTTTGGCAGAAAATAGTACTCATGTTCCAGTCCGGGATTCAAAACTAACACGGTTACTTAAGGACTCATTTGGAGGTTGGCTTGTAGTTGTGTTACACGTAAAAATAATATTTTGCACTCTCCATCCCACACTTGCCCAAAATCTACAAAAATAAATAACACATCATTTTTCATGATATTTCTGAAATGTAATTTGACATGACAGTAGATTTCCTTAGAAGCTGTTTTAATGCTGTTATTATTTAATGTAATATGACAGGCACATCAAGAACGTCATTAGTTGTGACCATTGGTCCATCGCCACGCCATCGAGCAGAGACAGCAAGTACCATTTTGTTTGGACAAAGGGTCAGTTATTGGATCTGGAATTTTATTTGGAGTATTCATTCAAGAAAATATCACCATTCAACTTTGTGCATATTATATAGCCAGATGAATCTTTTGCTTTCATTGTATTATAGGCTATGAAGGTGGAGAACATGTTGAAAATCAAGGAGGAGTTTGATTACAGAAGTTTGTGTAAAAGGCTTGAGGTACAAGTTGACAAACTCATTGCTGAAAATGAAAGACAGCAAAATGCTTTTGAGGATGAGGTAAAGAGAATCAGGTTAGAAGCGCAAAAGCACATCTCTAAGGCCGAGCAAAACTGTGCAGATGAACTAAAGGTTATTTCAGTATCTCTCTTACAGAGAACCTTTTTCAGGGACATTTGAATTTTTGTACACCTTTGCTGCACTTGATAATAAATCATACTCTCTAAAGGAATAGGACTGCCAAGTTTTGTTATGTACTGTAAATACATATTCAGTTCATAAGTAAAACTATTTTGATCTTTATTCATGATTTGAGCTGGCGGCTCTTGCAATTGAAATTTATACTTTTAAAATTCCTTATGCATTACATGCTTAGTTTAATTTTTATTTATTAATTTTCAACATGAAGGAAGAGAAAATTCGGTGCCAGATGGAATATATGGATTCAATTAAGAAACTTGAAGAAAAGATGCTTAATCAACAGAGGCATCCAGCCAATGGTGTCACCGGTAATGAAGAGGTATTTCTTTTCTTTACGCCCCTATCATGACGTTCTTATCCTCTTCTCTATTTTAGTAAGATCAAAGTAGTCACAGTATAACCTTCTTTTCACTGTATTGTTCGTTACTTTAGAAATGATTTGAATTTCCGTTTTGGTACAGAGTCACGGTGGGTTCACCAGTGAGGATGTATCTGAACTGAAGAAGTTGCTGCAGAATGAAATTCAAACAAGAAAGGCAGCAGAAGAGGAAATCAGTAGCCTAAAAAATCAGATTATGAAGATAAAAAAACAAGAAGTATGCATTGAGAGAAGGGTTTAGTTATAGTAAAGAGTTACTCCTTCCAGTCGCTAAAAACAGTTTTGTCCCTAAAGTTTTTTGTCTCATTAATAGGAGTCCTGTATGAACAAATGATGATAATTTTCCAAGGAACTTGCCAAAATAGATGAACTAACAACTAACAAGTTTAATATGATATGTTTAGGTAAACCATCAAAAAGTATATTAAATCTTAAATATAAGTGTCATTTATGGCTTGTAACAAACATTTTTTCCTAAAAATAAAGGGCTGTATGTTGGTCAAACAAGATTCTACTTCATAGTACGAAGGGAGTATTGCATATGATTGCAGTTTCACTTGCTCGTAAGATTGAACTGATGAGTGATTAATTGTGTAGTTATCCGCTGGAAGCTCAGATACTATATATCTCCAAAAGCTGCTGGAAGAAGAGGCTAGTGAAAAGAAGAGGCTGGAAGACGAAGTGATCCTCTTAAGAAGTCAATTGTCTCAATTGAATTTGGAAGCTAGTCAGGTATAGCCTTTGGTTCAGACATTTGAATATGCTGCTAGAATTTTTGTTTGTTCCACTCATTTAAGAATCTAACTTTTTGAGCATATGTACATAGACTAGAAGCTATGATGATAGAAGCAGAAATGGCAATTCGCTTTCTGGTCTGGATTCTCTGTCTTCACTTAGACATCTGCAGTATAAAAATGGCAATAATGGGGAGAGAGTGGCAATAACCAATCTCCATGAACAAGGTTACTATTTGTTACATTACTCATGTCATATTAATTGTTGGCCATAAATATGTCTTTACTCATTCTTATTAAATCAAATAACAGTTGGGCTAAATAAGATTATGTCATTGCTGGAATCAGAAGATGCTAGTGTGCAGATTCATGCCGTGAAAGTGGTTGCCAACCTAGCAGCAGAAGGTGATTTTTCTCTGCCTCTTCCCACTCCTATATGAATTAAAAGAATACCTTCTTTTATTTTGTTATTGCTAGTTTGCTACTCCATCTTGCGTCTGTAAGAAAATCGCTCTGTGATTCCAAAAAGACCTTGAAAAAGGTATGTTAATTGAAAATCTCTCTAAGTGATGTTAATCGTATTGAATAGGGATAGACGCCGAATGTGTACAAAACAAAAATGTAGTTGATACTTACTTTTGTTTATAAACATGTATTGCATTTTTATAAACCTTTTACTTATGTTTTTATTTTTACACTTACAGATGAAAGGAATGTGTAGCATTTTCTGTTCTTGGGTGTTGTTTATAAATATACACTTTTAGAACATTATATAGAACTACTTAATAAATTTAATGATTTATGACCTTGCAAACGACTATCAAGGATGTTAATATATTTTAATGGTCTTCAATGTATAATTTTTTTGATGGAGAGAATATTTATTATGCTTTATTTAGGCTTGAATACAACTATTTTTTTGGGGTTCTTGAAACATGAGATGCTGGGGCCTGAAATTAGATTTACTGTCAAAATAGTGACATAGTTACTGTTAATCTAATACTAGAACCAATAACTGATTCTGATTGTGGGAATTTTCCATGGTTGCCTTTTCTGCTCATGCTTAGAAGCGAATCAGGAGAAAATTGTTGAAGCTGGAGGTCTTACTTCACTGCTGATGCTCCTTAGAAAATCTGAGGATGAGACAATACGTAGAATAGCTGCCGGTGCAATTGCAAATCTTGCAATGAATGGTCAGCAGTCAGCAAGCATTCTTTTGGCTGTTTGTGACTTTGCGCATTTGGAATAATAGCGTTACTTTCCATCATATGAATGATGTTTTTGTCCTTTCACTTGCAGAAGCAAATCAGGAGCTTATTATGGCTCATAGTGGGATTAGTCTTTTGTCAATGACAGCAGCTGAAGCTGAGGATCCTCAGACTCTACGGATGGTTGCTGGAGCCATTGCTAATCTATGTGGCAATGGTATATGCATCTTTATTCTTTGTCTTTGCGAATAGAACTTTTTTTGTTCAATATGTTTTCCACATCATTCAACTTTTCCTTAATTTCTGTTGTCAAGAAAATAAAGCATTGTTCGAAATTGTGGAAATACATCCTCAAAAAAAAGTTGTGGAAATACAAATTAGAGGTCTGTCAGACATGTTATTTTTTAAAGAGCTGATAAAAAAATGTTGTGAACTACAAGGATTAGTAGTAACATGAGTTATTTACTTATATTACAGGGAGCTGAAACATAAAGCGTATATTAACGAGAAAGTAAAAACATAATTAAGCCTTTAATCTATAAGCATTAAGTCTGGAGGGTTTAGGGAACGATTAACATGGGCGCAGTTCTAAAGAAAATGGAACAATTATCAACGTAATCTGGCATTTATAATTTGTACCTTTTTTATTCCTCAGATAAACTGCAGACGAGGTTAAGAACAGAAGGTGGTATAAGGGCTTTGCTAGGAATGGTGAGGTGCAGACATCCTGATGTTCTTTCCCAAGTTGCACGTGGAATTGCCAATTTTGCCAAGTGTGAGTCCAGAGCTTCTTCGCAGGGTGAGTCTTCCATGTCTTAACTGGCTACCTTGTGAATATATTCTCAGTTTATACTCCTTCAGATACATTGAAAACCTCCCACTAATGGATGTACCTAACCTATTTGGCTGAAATGGCATTAGGAAAATCATATGATAACACATATTTCAGCCAAATAAGTAAATCAAGATTTACTTAGGGTCTGTTTGCAACAGCTTCTGCTTTTAAAAAAGTCCTTTTTTTAATGAAATGGGGAGAAGTGATTAAATAAAAGTTGATAGTGTTTGAGAAAAAAGTGATTTTGAAAAGTAAAAGTGGGTAGTGTTTGGTAAAATAAGTGCTTTTTTGTGTAATAGAAAAAGTAAAAGCACTTTTGACACGGAAGTCAAGAAAAATAAAAGTTGTAGTGTTTGGAAAATAAGTGCTTTTTTAAAGCCAAAAGCTAAGAAGTGCTTTTTTAAAAGTAGTTGCAAACCAACCCTTAGGACCTGTTTAGTAAGGGTTATTTCCCCCAAATGAGTGAATTAACTGTATTTTCTGAAAGGAAAAGTGTGTAGGAAATTCAGGCAGATATGACAAAGGCTACTTAGAGCCTATTGGTAGGGTTATTTGACAGAAATTACTAAAATCCACTGATTTTTCTAAAAGTACTAGTGGTCTGTAAAATCCATTTCAGCCAACTAGTGAGCAAGTGAAAAGCTACTCACTGTAATTATTCTGCGAGTAGCAGAATAAGCTGAATCAGGCTATTATTTTGCTTACTTTTCCTAATCTGCTGATAATGTATGCCTACTAGGCTACTGTGGAGAATAAGCCGATTATCTACCAGACGGAGCCTTAATCTGCTAAGAGTTTTAATAACCCCCCCAGACACTAGGCCTTCCTATAGTGCCTAATGCCTTTTCTTCTAATTACATTTAGTTCCCGCCTAACCCTGAATAATCCCTTGCTAGGCGCTAACCCTCCGTCTTCCTCTTGACGGACGCTCAGCACTTTCTTTGGGTCTAACTGTCTAAGATAGTAAATTAATTTAAAAGGATATATGTATTAATTAGGCAGTATAAATGTATAATATTTTTTGATCGAGATTATATCATGGTAGGCATAAAACTTGGACGGTCCCTTCTAATAGAAGATGGGGCACTACCATGGATTGTGCAAAATGCCAATAATGAAGCCTCACTTATTAGACGACACGTGGAGCTTGCACTTTGCCACCTCGCACAACATGGTATGTGAGAGCTTTTCAGAGAACTGTGCTTCTTTGTAGAGGTTTTGTATGTTTGTTGTCTAGCTTCTGAACAATGTTTTTCCTTTCCCCCCTACAGAAGTAAATGCAAAAGACATGATTAGCGGGGGAGCCCTCTGGGAGCTGTATCGTATCTCACGTGACTGCACACGTGATGACATAAAGTTACTTGCACGCCAGACGCTGGCTTCAAGCCCAACATTTTTATCCGAAATGCGGCGCTTGCATATAGATGTATAGACGGATGATGGTGGGTTCAAGTACCCAATGGAAAATTTCAACCATATTTGCCAAATTTGACTAACCAGTTATTAGAAGAAGGGGGCGGCTGTCTTTGCAAACATAGATCAGCATCTTGTTTGTTCATATCCATTCATTTTTTGTTGGTTGAAGTTATACTACTAGTGACATCTCGTGTGTTGTAACATATATATGAATGAATAGAGGTAAATTTAATGATATTTACTAGTTCAATCGTTCCACTTAAAGTTTCTCCTAGTTTCACATATTAGTACTTTAGTAGTCATTTTGAAAGTCCGATGTTGCGTCAGGCACTGTGGTTGGTTTAAGATCGTCAGATGGAAGCACTCAAGTTCTGATGAGAAACTTTCAGTTTTGAATTATGCTAGAGGTACATAACACTATTATAGAAATTCTTATAAAAAAAGATATGTGAGTATCTTATTGTTTAGCACATGAGCACATTACATTACTTTTACATCAAAGATGGATTGCAATATCCACACTTGTGTGTAAGTTTTTTTTTTTGTAAGTTTGTGTTTTTAGCATTTTTCTTCAATTTTCCACTCCAGCAAACTGTGGCAAAGTATTAGTTTTTACATATGGACCTAGTCAGATTTTCTAGCTCAGTTCCACATCTAATTGCAGCACTAACCGATCTGGTTCGGGAACTTGGTTTTGTACCAAATTTTAGCCTTTTTCAGAAACCCGAAATTTGAACCAGTCATGTCCATGTTTATTTTGGAGAAACGGGAGATTGGGAGAACGGTTTCTTTTATGTTACTATGATACTATCAGGCTATCAGCTACGGGTAATAGTGTTGTTCTAGAATACTATTAGGATATATTTGACACAACTTGTTGAAAAAGATATTTTTGTGAGTTTTTTAACAATTGTTAGTTTTTGGTGACTGAAAAGATCTTACAAAAAATGCGATAGTTGTTTGATAAAAATGATTTAGTTCTATTAATATACAAAATGTTGTGACTAATTTATGGTTAAAGCTACGGATTTTGCTGATGTTACCTTGCATAGCTTCTCAATAATATCTTTTAATTTGAAGAAAATTCTTAAAATTGTAGTGACAAACATACAATTACAAACTTTTAAGATTTTTTAGATTATACAAAAGTAGAAGGTATGAGTTTATGTCTACTAAACATGCATTTCGTAGAGCTCTAATAAGCAATTGGAGTGTTGGTCTACGTTAGAATTTGTTCAGTTCGTCTCATTTGAATGTTTTTGATTTGATGTTTTTAACTATCTGATCTGAATTTTCTGATATGATCTAATCTAATTTGCATCTTATGATCTCATTGAGTTATTATTATTATTAAGCAATTATTAATTTATGAGAGGGTAAATGGGTAAGAGAGTATCACCCTGAGTCCAATTTTGCGTTGAGCATGCCCGTAAAGGTGCCATGGCCGCTGTGTTGGAGGACTTTGAGGTAGAGGACTAGAGGTTCAACGATATTATGAGAGTTGTCGTAGGAGAACCATACACGGCCCACCTTAGCATCCAAAACCATTTGTCCGAGTGATGATGGAGCCATGGAGCCAATGTGGTCAAGTACACGGCCCACCTTATGAAGACACTTTTGATCTACAACACAACATATCACGCTTCAAATTACTTTTTTATTTAGGGAAAAGGGTGAGATAGACTTTGAACTTACATAAAAATGTCAAATAAGGTCTTATATAGGAGGCTATGTGAGGCCGTCGCCATTTGGGGCGGTTCCCAGTGTAATTTTTTGATGATTTTTTTTGAGCATCTTATTCATTAAGTCTAGTTTACTCATACCAAATTTCAGCTAAAACATTAATCGGGAAGACATTCAAATATGTAGCTGTGTTGCTTATTATTTTGACTTTTGATGGTTTTGGATGTCTTATTTTCAAGAATTTAAGGCATTCAAATGAATTCTTGAAGATAACTTAATGAATAAGATGCTCAAAAAATTCCACCAGGAACCGTCACAAATGGCGACGGCCGCACATAGCCTCCTATATAAGGCCTTAAATGACATTTTTATATAAGTTCGAGGCCTTATATGACCCTTTTTTCTTTTATTTATTAATTATGATCACACTCATATATTAAGCAAAACTCAAAAAGTTTTGACTCATAACATGAAGACAAGCATTTCCAAATAATATATGTACTTATTCATTTGAGTTGTATTAAGTGCTCATGAGTCATGAGAACTTAAATCACATCAATATTTTTCAAAAATGCTTATTAGTAATTAAAGTCCTAAATTGTTTTTTTTTTTTGACAATTTAGTCTCACCTAATTTCTAGATTATTAAAAAATATAAAGAATAAAAACTAAATGTGGATGGTTTATTAAAATATTCCAAATTTTATTACTCTCTCCGTCCCTAAATAAAAGCACCTCTTTCCTTTTCAAGCCGTCTCTAAATAAAGATCTTTTTCTCTTTTTGACAGACAAAAAAGTGCGCAAAACAGTATCAAACAATGTTCAAACAGTGTCACATAAATCCACCTTCTTAAATTATGTGTAAAAGGAATGAGATTTTTTATATAGGGACGGAGGGAAATGTCTTTTGAAAGTAAAAAAAAAATAGTTTAAAAGGAAAATCAAGTATCCAATTGTTGAGTAACTATAAAGTTAGATGTTTCTGCTGAAGTTATGACTAAAATAACCGATTTTTTTGAAATATGAAAAAAAATACTTAAAATATACTACATACTACATACCTTTTTAATAAATTAAACAAATGATAAATGAAAAAGATTAAAAGTACAAAGATTGCTTGAAATTGGAGTAAAATGTTTGTGTATTTTAAAATAACATTGTCATGTTTTTGTTATCTGAATAAGAGTAATTAGTGTCATGTTTGAACAATGTTAGACTTTAAATATGACAGTATTTATCACATTGGACAATAATTATTTATATTTAAAGGATAAAAATATAACTATCATATTTTCCTATTTTGTGAATTTTGTGAGTTGAATTGAAATCTGATATTAATGATGTTTTTATTTGGATTATAATTTGTCTCGGGCCAGACTTGAATAATTTTAAAAATACAAAAAACCAGACCAAATCAAACCAGACCAATTTAAACCAGATTAGATCAGACCAAACCAAATCAATTCAGACCAGACCAGTTCAGACCAACAAATTGGTGTCACTTAAAAACATCCTAAAACCTAACGAACTCAATCACCCAAGGTTTCCAGAGAGTTAACATCCGACGGTTTTATTAGGTGACTAGGGCTTCTCAAATCCAGAACTCCCACTTTCTATCACGCCCTGCCCTCGTATTATTCCGGAGACTGCACGCAGACATGGCGGCGGAGGGAGAGGAGCAGCCTCTGACTTACATAGATGAGGTTGTGCTGAAGAAGAGGAGAAACAATGAGGAGTGGGCCATACGAAGGAAGCATCAGCTGGAGCAGAAAGTCAGGAAGCTCAAATCTGATAGCTTCATCATCAAGAAGCCCGAACAGTTCATTAAAGAATATCGAGACAAGGTAAAAGATTTTGACCTAAGTCAGTACCATAAATGTTTTCCGGTGTCTTATCTGATGAGGAAATTGTGTCCTTCATAGTCGTGTTGACGTGTTGAGCTATTTAAACTAAACAGTGCATGTTGAGCTATTTAAACTAAAGGAATACATGAATTATTGCATATGTAGTGCCATTTGTTAAACTGTTTTTAGTTGTGTTCAAAAATTGCATATGTAATGGCATTTCTTCAATTGGTTGTTACTCCATAACCACAATTTTCAGTTTCTAACTGCAACTTTTCATTCTCCCATTGAAGTCAACAAACTTTTAATATGGATAGAAAGACAATATATGGATTATTTGTTAATTAGACTTGATTCATACAAGATTGGGTAGTCACTATCATCTTTTGTGTGATTCTAGCTTCATGTTTGGGTAGTATACCTGCTTCTAGTTTTTTAAATAAACTCCTATGTTACATGACCTATGTGGTCTCAGTCTTGAAATGATTTTTGTTAGTATGTTGGGTGCGATGTCCTAAACAGCAGCCTAGGCAGGTGAAAGATGGTCAGCCTCCTTGGTTCCAAAGCTGATGAGGGGGTCTGGCCTTTTATTATTATTCTTGTAAACGAAATACAGAAACTACTCTCCTCTCTGAATCTCATTTCAAACACAATCTTTTAATGATTAATCAAATCTAAGTTCGTGTTTTTACATGACATGGATATAAAAATCATATTTAGTTGTTAGTTATTTAATTTTGGAAAAACTATGCATATTTACAATTTATTGTAAACCTATTTCATGGTGACACCTAGACAGTGCCCTTTGTGGTTCCTTCAAACGCTTCCTATGTTGTCTGTGCAATTCTGTAAAACACAGTATTAGCATTCTCATGATGTAAGATATTCCCTTTATATATCTTAGTATTCTCTTTTTTTTTTCTTTTTCTCAGGAGCTGGACCTGGTAAGAATGAAACAGAGGGGTAAAAGGAGATTACCAGCGTTCCCAACATCCAAACTGCTTTTTGTCATACGTATTGGAGGGTGTGTTACCTGCATGTCTACACTGCTTGTATTCTTTCATTTGCACTGCTTCTTTGTGGTTCTAACATTGCGAATCATTCAGGAAAAATGATATGCATCCGAAAACACGAAAGTATTTATACTCATTGAGGCTGGGGAGAGTATTTGATGGGGTATTTCTAAAGGCTGATGAAAGAGCATTAGGAATTTTGCAGAAGTTGGAGCCTTACGTCACATATGGGTACGATGAGTTGATCTCCACATCCAGTACAAATAAGTAGCTGTGTTGCTTATTGTTTTGACTTTTGAATTTTGATGGTTTTGGATGTCTTATTTTAGTGGCGCCTTGAAGTATAAAATAAGATTTTGGGCAAGATATCTTATTGCTTGTTTGGGCAAGAAATTATTTCTCATCGCATAAAGAGTAACATATTGTGTGAAAATGATATTAATTACTATAATATGTAGGCTTTCAAGCATAATGATAGTCATCTAATACTTCATCTCCTAAATGTTATTTCTGTTATTTTATCTTATTGATAATTGACAAAGAAGTAAGGAGAAGTTACTTCTGCTCTTTCTCTATTTAAGTTCAAATTTGTTTTTTGAAGTTGGATATTCAGTAAGGGTTTTTGATGTGATTATATTGTATAATACTGCGTACTTCTTTGTTTTCTGGAGACTAGTTTTGAAGAGATATATTTTGCAACATTCATTTTTTACACTAATAATTCATACTCCGTGTGTTTTAACCGAAACAGAGAACATGTGACATCTTCCCCCCACTAATTTCTTACACTTTCATGATTGAAGGTATCCTAATCTCAAGAGCGTGAGGGATCTGATTTTCAAGAAAGGGACTGGAAAAGTTGGTAAACAAAGAGTGCCTTTGACAGACAATAACATCATTGAACAGGTATTATCACTTTATCAAGTCATTGTGTATTTCTGTGCCATTGCTTGGGGTTTGCACTTTCAGACCAAAACAAAAAATTCAGCTCCAACAAAAAAACAAACTACAAATTTGATCTGGTTTTCCATTGTTAGTAATTCTTTTAGTTTGGTTTTTAACTCAGCTGACTGGAAGGAATAGTTTTAGTTGAAAAAGTGTGCAAAGTG